GTTATGCCGTAACACACATAAAAAAAAAATAAAAAAAAAAATATACCGACGAATTGAATACCTCCTTCTTTTGGGAAGTCGGTCAAAAAGGAGGATGTTTTCAATTCGTCTGTGTGTTTTTTTAATTCTGTTAATACGAAATTCCGCTCCTGGTTATCCGATTTTCATAATTATTTTCTTAATTAAAATGGTAATATAAAATTAAGTAAAACACTGTAACTTGTATCGATTTTTCAAATAACCTTAATTAAGAGATGTTAGAAAAAATGTAAGGCAATAATAAAGTAACTGATACAAGTGTAGCATGTTCAATTGCAAATAAAACTCCGAGATCGCGTAGTGAAATATAATTTTATATGAGAAGTAAAAGTTATTGGGCATCGAGTGACCTCTGGCGGATACATTAAGACCTTTAACAGCGACAACGACGCCACAGGTTTATTGGTGTTTTTATATGACTCTAACATTCACGACTCTATTTTATTGCTTTGTTAAGGGCTGATAATAAAATTACAGTTGTCACGCACTACCTTGATTCGTGGTGGTCTAATTTACCTTCTTATATAAGACAACTTACACATACATAATTTAATTTTTTTTTTTGAATTAATGACATTTTGCGTTGTAAATATAAATTCATTCTTTTTTTAAAGATTTAAATAACGCTTATTGAAACTCATGTAAGTGAATTCTTTTGTTTTTTAAATTGAATTGATTTAAATACATAACGATCTCATTTCCTTAATTAAAAAGGAATGGTGTATAATTAACGAGCTTGAAAACAGATTAGAATTACTAAAGAAACAGCATACTCTTTTACGCTACGTTAATGGAAGATCCTAAGCTTTTATTTAAGACTTTTACTTAAGATAATATTGTTTAAAAGACAGCATGTGCTCTGTAATTCTGGGACTCAATACAGTCAGTACAAATCTATGTCTAATTTGAAATGTTCAATTATACTAGATAATAGAGTAAGTTAAAGGCAGACGTAAACTAAATACTTCAGTCATTACTGTTTGTATTACATGTATGAAGGCTGCGACTTGTAAATTCCTCGTTACGATTTGTTCTAATGAAAGCTGATGTTAAGAAAACAAAGTGATAGACCTTGCTTGTAAGATAATGCGAGATCTCGTAGGTTTCTGTAATGATTTAGCAAATGCTCTTTGTTTTTGTTTCTAATGAATGTAGGGATGTATAGTTCTTGAAATATATGTTCTTGGGGCAGAAAATAAAGTAACAATGAATAAGAATTAATAATGTGTTATAAATTACGTTAAAGAAAAATAAATAAGCGATTACTGGCCGCAAAATTCAAAAATATTGCAGTTATCGAAATCTTGTCAGTTATTCTTAACATTATTTGAATCTGACCAGTGGGCTAGCAAATAAAACAAAACACTTCAGCATGAAGCTAAAAGCTATTGCTCTACAAAACTAAACAATAGTTCCAGTGTTAACAAAAGAGACGTAGCTTGAAGGCTTTTACTACGTTAAGGTTATACAGCTACGAGCTTATACAGTAAAAAAACGTTATTTTATTAAGAAATTCCATCAGAATTAATGTAAATTCCCACGAGGCGACGCTCTTAGTTTTTTTTCTAGATAAATATTTTTAGCAAACATGAATTTAGTGTTTTCTTTCG